TATCACTCATTGTCTCATCCAATAAACAGGACAGGGTCAAACATAAAGCAGTCAGTCATCAGATTACAACTGTGAAATAGTTGTATCTTTAACCATAGGTGGGAAATTTTCACAGCACATTACATCTACTCCTTTTCATGAATCTACCATTTTTGTCAGCAAGATTTTTTCACAGCATATTTGTCAGATCTAACTGGGATTGAAGTCTTAATATAAACATTTTTTAAATGGTTTTATGCTGATTTATTGTAATTTTCATGAAGCTTTACATTTGTAATATTAATAATCATAAAATAATAAGATTGACTTGGGTCTCATTCATTATGTTTACATACTGTTTACCACATTTGCAGCTCTAATGAAACAAAGATATTGAAATAATGAATTCTGAGATGAAAAAGATGGTCTTTTGAAAATATTGATTTGCGAGTCTAGTGGAGGATTAGTACTCTAAGAACATCTCTTTTTCTTTGATTCATTCCTTTTGGAGACTGAAAATCCCTAAGGTCTTAAGCACTACAAACTTCCTTAAATTCTGTCTCATTTGCCTGCTTCACTGCATTTGCATAACAAAGGTAATACGTGTAATAAAGGAAAGGTAATTTTCACACCTCATAATCAAGGTCCAAATAACTGAATTCTCCTTTTGCATGAAAATGATGAGTGTGTTTATCCACTGTAAAGTTTACTTGATTGTTAAAGTGCTCAATGAGAACAGAATGCCAGTGCTGATCATCCAAAAGGCTGCCCAGTGTAATATTAATTTGGGCATTAGAAGGATGAGTTTTAGTATCACCTTGAAAGAAGAAAAATAAAAACTATTAATTTCATTAAAAATATAATTATTCAAACATATACCGCTAGTTTATCATACTCTATACATTAATAATCCACTTAACAAATTTAAAGGAGTTTCAGTCAAATAATACCCAATAACTGTATTAGACTTTATGAGACTGTAGCTGTTACCTAAATTAATGAGCAGGGACAGCTTCCCTTTAGTTAACTCCAGGGTGATGTGGTCTCCATTTTGTCCTTCTCTGTGGAGGAGAATTCCATCACTTTGCATTGTCTTAAACTTCAGAGAAATCATGTCTTTCAGTTCATTCATGAGTTTTTGATTAAATGTGTAAATTAGACAACTTTTCCCATCAAAGCCAACCACCTCAGACCCTAGAAGTAAAGAAATGAAAGATAATGTATAATGCTATGTCTAAAACAAACAGCTGCATGTTACTTCAATATGATATGAAGTTCAACCCTAACGTCTCCAGGTCAACCTGTGGCCAGTAAATTGCAACTTATTTGTACCCCAAATATTAAGACAGTCCTGTTTTATGAGGATGCTATAACTAGATAATAAAACCAAGATGAGAAGAGATTCG